TAGCTGTCTGACTTTTCCACATCCATAATTTAAAACAAATTTAAACTTCAAAATCACTTCGTTACATTTTCTTTTCTTTGTTAATCTTAACGTAGAAAATTCCATCACATTCGAACCTTAATTTACTTTATTTCCGACAGAGCTGGTAATATTATGGAGTCCTCTTTAATTTTAGTTAACATCTGTAAACATTCCCATCATCATCATCATCATCATCAACATGAACACCAACATCACGGCCACTTCGAGTTCTAACAGCGATGATCATAAATGTGGATGCCTAAGACTCAAAACTAGCAACCAGTCATTTTAAAATAACAATAAAGTGTGTGCATTTTGTTTTGAACTTGTTCTATATATTTGGTTGCACTACTATAGTATATTGTAATATAACTGCAGCTACTTTTAACGACTCAAAGAGTTTCCACCAAAGACAGATATGCATGTAATTGATTTGTCACAGATTTAAAGTTAGATGCTGTTCTTGGTTATTTAACACAAACTATTTAACCTTCTGTTTGTACCTGTTTTAAATAATTTGCCCTTTACATTTTAAATCTGTATCGTTTGATGTAAAAATAAGTTTTCTTTACCATATTTGACATCTTGTGAATGACCAAGAATATATCTCACCTGAACAGATGACACTAGCGTCCTTAGAATGATCACATCCATTTATTCCAAATCCACTGTTGGGACAGTCAGTCAGAAAGTCTTCACTGCCTGAACAGGTCACTTCATCAAGCCAAATCTGTCCACTTCCTGGACCAAAGTAAGCCATCTGAGGAGCTTCCAGCGCCGGTCCACAGTTTAACTGTCTGCAAACCACCTCAGCGTCATTTAAGTCCCAGAGGTAATCACAGATTGTTCCCCAGATGTTATTGTAATAGATTTCAACTCTGGCAGAGCACTGAGTTGATCCAGACCCTGCCAGTCTGATGTCTGAAAACAAAACGCAGAGACCACAGATTGCTGAGAGAACATACAGGACACATAACTGAATTATAGAAAAGGAAAATCACACTCTAAAAGTAAAGGTTAAAAAAAAAGTAAAAGTGGAAATTAACTGACTTGGTAAATATACAGAAGTTTTCATAGTTGTAACTTTTTTTAAAATGTGATTTTATCTTAAAAATCTTTTAAAGATATTTATTAAAAAATGAAACACCATCCACAACTACCCATAATTTTGATGGTATTTTGCTTAATGTGCATATTTTGTATAGCTAACACACCTTTATTGTTAAAGTGGTAAAACAATCTCCAGACAATCCTTATTGCATGTATCATAAATTCTGTCAAGTACAAACTGAGGATTCAGATGTGATTTAATGTTAAATCACGCGTTTTTATGAATAGAAACATCGAAACATTTACACTCATTGAGATATTAGCTTTTTTAAAAAACATGTTACAAACAGCTGTAACACAGGATTACAACTTTACATTTACATTTATTTTATTTTAAAAATATTTTAACACAGTTGAGATTTACTGCTACTATGAGACCACTTCATCAATTCATACATAAAATTACTTAATTAGAACCACTGGGAATTATTTGTCCTCTGTAACTATGTTTATATCATACAAATTATAAATTTTTAAGACTTAGTTTCACAATGACAACTCTTAAACAATCAGGACACCCTAATTTCCTGTTGTCAACATTTAATTCTGTTAACAAACCACAACCACACAATTAGAAAAAAAAAAGAAAGAAAACATTTGCTTCTCAGCATCCTTGATGACAAAAGTAAATTTGTATGCATTTTCTACCAATTTGTTATAAAAATGAAAGTGTCCTGTGTTGAAGCTTTTTTTTAAGGAGCCATAGATCACAAAGCAAAACTAAATAATAATGCAACACCTAAACTTCGGTACAGGTGACACTCCCAAAACTAGTGTTTTGGAAACGGTGCTGCTACAGGACCTGCTCAGCTACAAATGTCACCCATCACTATCAGGTAACTTTACATGATTTTTCTGTAATGTTTGGTAATTTAAACATGTCCCTACTATAACATCTATGAAAAGGAGAAGATTTACAGTAATTGTGGCTGGTGATGACTGATAAAAACTATAGTCTGACAGATTATTAATACTTGATGCTAATGCAATTCCAGCAAAGATCCTGTGTAAAATGTAAATGAAAATGCAAT